TTTTTTTGCTTAGTGCCAGCTGGTGCCTTGTCTTTCATGGAAGAGGAGAAAGAGGAGGGAGGAGGAGGAGGTTGGCTCTTCCATGGGAGAGGAGGAGGATGGGAAGTTGCTGAGGAAACAATTGTATTTCCTGGCATGATGGGATGGGGGAATTTGACCATCTCTTGATAGCAACAAAAATGTCTTTGCAAAATTTCTGTGCTTTCCTGGTGAAAAAAAACCAGGAGAGCTGAGTTCTGTGCCCTTGGAAAGGAACTGGGATAAAACAAGTGTGGCCTTTGAAGGTCCTTTGAGGCAAGACATGGTGAGTGGAGCATCTCAGCTTTGCATCTTCTCTGTAAAGGGACAACTTTCTGTTGTTCTCTTTTTTCATTCTCTTTTTACTGCAGGAAATACTCCTCAGATACTGAAAATAAACAGCAGCTCTTTTCCTACCATTTTCCAACAATGCTTCCAATTTATGGAAGCCTCTGCCCATCTCAGGAGTGTGAAGCCCAAGTGATGCCCCCCACACCATCTGCTGCCTGCCTTGCTTTGGCACTTTGGGCTCTTGGCAACCCCCTCAAAAAGCATTTCAGTGGGAAAAGCAACATTTTCCCCTCCTTTCCCCGACTGGAGCTTTCCTGTTAATGGCCCACATTTCCATTTCCACGTGCAGTATAAATCCTGCTTGAGCTTTGTGAGACATTCATTGGGCTCCGTGGGCTATTGTGGAGTTATTCCACTGCTGCTGAGAGCACTTGGAGCCCTTCCTGTTATTTGTCTTCATTCTAGGGAATAAACATGTGGCATTTTCTGCAGATGTGCCTCTTGTACCGAAAAAATCCCCCCCAGCACCAGCAATTAGTGCAGGCACAACAGGCAGAGGTGGAAACACCCTCTGAAAATGCCACACTGGCTTTTCTGAAACGACAGTGTTGACATTCTGGGTTTACATGATCCAAACCCTTGTGTGAGTGCTCCGGGGAGCAGAGGAAGGGATGGGGAATGCTGGGGGTGCTCCTCAGCTTCCCAGCACTGGCTGTTCTGGGTGTTCATTGTCCAGGAGATTCCCCCCAGCTGCCACACTCTCCTCCCTGGTGTTTTATTTAGGAAAGGAAGTTGCTGATGAATGTGATCTGGTCACTGTATTTAACGTACCCTTGGATAACATTTAAATATGTAATGGCAGAGCAAGCTGTGCTAAACCTCTCACAGCGAGGCAGAGCAAACTCATTTACAAAAGTACTTCAGCAGGAATTAAAATAAAATTTCCATTTTCCACAGTCCCATTCTGATCCTGGTTGCCATTAACTTACTCCCAACCCCATTTGGTATTTCAAACTTGAGTAAATCATTGTGTCTTCCAATTAACTCCCATATTCCAGACAACATAATGTGACTGGTTTCATTCAACCCTGTTGTTTAATAAACAGCTAAACAATTCTTTCTATCTGAGCCACAAAAGAAATGTGCAGTTATGGTGCATTGTGCAGGCAATAATGGGCAGAAGGAAAATTACTGGAAGGAAATTCATCTTGGTTTTGGTTTCTGAGCTCCCCCTGTGAGGGATGGGCATGGCCAGGGAATGAGCTGCTCTCCTGTCGCACACACAGCAATATTTGCAAGGAGAAAGTATTGCACTCCTGTTCCAAAACCCTGGGATTTTTGGCTGCCTAAGCAAAGGCACTGCAGGGGTCAGTCGGACGCTCAGCAGCCCAGAGGGAGCAGAGGAGGTAGCAGTGACTATGAAATATGATTATTTCCATCAAAGAGACAAGTTTGGGAGCTGGGATGCTGGAACAGTGGTGGGAGACAGGCTGGAGGACTCCCTGTTCTGGAATCAGCCAGCAGGCCCAACTGAATTTAAGGAATGAGACTTATCAGTGATGTGAGCTAAACAATCCTATTGCAGTAACAGAACTAGGATGTTAAGTTATTCAGTGGTTAAAAACAGAGAGAATGTGGCTGTAGGGGCCCTGTTCTGCTCTGGGGGTCCCTGCAGAGGCTGAGCACAGCCCTGGGCTGGCACAGGAAGGGCAGTGCACCCTCACAGAGGGTTCTCACTGATGCTTTCTCACTAAAACAGGCAGGTTTGTTGTTACAAGGTGCTCAGAACCTGTGTGAATGATTCTGGTGCCATTGCAGGGGGCTCTGTGTGGGAACATAGACCCCCATGGCCACTGTGCTCTGCAGCACAGGGCTGAGTGCTGGTAAAGGGAATATCAGCACTGGAGAAATGCCCTTCCTGATTGTTCATTTTGAATATTCTCACCAGGAGAGTTTGAGCAGATGTGTAATCAGGGAGGAGAAAGACTGTGGGGTCACTTATCACGGAATCACAGAATGGTTTGGTTTGGAAGGGACTGTAAAGAACATCTCATTCCACCCCCTGCCAAGGGCAGGGACACCTTCCACTGGCCCAGGTTGCTCCAAGCCCCGTCCAACCTGGCTTTGGACACTTCCAGGGATGGGGCACCTTCTCTGGGCAACCTCTTCCAAGTCTGTTATCACATGGATCACACTTGAATCTGGAATTTCAGCGTCTGTGGCCTTTCCCAAGAAGAGCCCTTGAGATGAGCTGGGCTAAATCCATTCCAATAATGAGCGTGTTCGAGGAACACAATCTCCTCAAAGGATTCCTGGAGCAAGGAAGAGAAAAGGCTTGATGCTTTGACTTCTTTGCTGATCACAGACCTGAAGCCAGGCTGTGGCACGTGGACTCCAGCCTTTGAGGTGGAGGGTTCTGGTTGGCATCACCCACAGTCAGGAGCATCAGTCTGAGCACCGTGAAAATCCTTCTGCTCCATTTTATGCCTGACAGCAAAAATGGGCATCTATTCCTGAAGTAAGGAGCTCCAGCACTGAGGGAAGGCATCTGCAGAGCCAGAGCTGTGGCAGAATGCAAGCAGGGCCATATTGGCAAAAAATGAGGAGTTAATTTAGTGGTGAATGCGCGGATGTTTTTCCCAGATGTGTTTGCAGAGCCATTAAAAGCTGTGTTTAATCTCAGCTCCTCTTGCAATCTGATCCACATTATGCTGCTTCCACATGGAAAAGAGCAGTTAATGGCACTGGATGGCTCTGCCCTGCTCTTGGAGAGGCTGGATGAGGTCTCCCTGTCCAGGGCTGCTCTGCCAGGGCACTGGAGGCAGCTCTGGACCCCAGGCACAGGGCTGAGGGCTGTTAATGTCTGTGTGTGCCACACTTGCATGCCAGCACTTGTGACTGAATGAAAACATCCCTGAATTAGTAATGACGTTTTTATTTTTAAGGGACTCGAGCTCAGGCAGCATTTTAAAAAATGAATCATGATTTTAGGTGATTTCTTTCTGCATGGATGGTCAGAGCTGCCTGAAAATCGTCTGTGAAAGCTGCTGCAACTTCTGTCTCTAATGGAGGTGCTCAGGCTCACTAAACTGTTTGGCAAACACTGGCTGTCGTGTCTCATCCTGCTGATTAAATTCCATATTTGCATTTCCTTGGATATACAAAGAAAAAGCAAATCAGCAATGAACAGCGCAGTTAGAGCAGGAATAACCAAAGAGGGAGAGAGGAATAACTGCTGGTCTGGAGATGACAAAGTGCAGAGCCAGACACACACCCAGGCCCTGTGCAGCAGAGCATCCTGCATCCCACACAGCATCCTGCATCCCACACAGCATCCTGCATCCCACACAGCATCCTGCATCCCACAGAGCATCCTGCATCCCACACTGTCCTGCATCCCACACTGTCCTGCATCCCACACTGTCCCACAGCCCACAGAGCATCCCGGGCATCCCAAGGCCACTTGGGTGCTGCAGGAGGAGCAGGGTAGCCCTGGACTCATTCCCTTCCAGGTCTCCTTGGGGATGCACTGCTGGACACAAACATTCCAGCTCAGCACAACTCAGATGTTGTGAGTTTTTTTCTTGGTTTTTTTTATCCTTTTCCTTTATTACATCTAAAGGTTTGATATTTTAACACTTGGCCTAATATTAACTAGGGAAATCCAGCAGATGTACTTCGTCTTATTAAAGATATGAGCAATCTCCAGTGCTCTGGTATTAATGGGGGGAGATTGACTGAAAATGTTTTGCTTCAATGGCTCTTAAGGAATTCACAGTTCATTTCCAGTCATTAAAATAATTAGTGCTGTGCTCTGACTCCTCTAAGGGCAGAGCTCTAGGGCCAGCTGCCCTCGGTGTGAGGGAGGCTGTGAGCTCCCAGCACGTCCCCTCCTCGCTGGGATGCTCCCAGCCTGTGATGGAGGTGATCCCAAACCCTTCCAGAGGGCTGGGAAGACCCAGGGGAAAGCAGGGCTTAAATAGGACTTGGGGGCTTAAATGGCTTTGAGGAGCCTTTCAAAGAAAACATGAATAACCAACCCATTTGTTTTAATGAGGCTGCTCCTGTAATAAAGATAGTCCCATAAATAAGTGATTATAGGATTGAGCCCAAACCAATCGCTCAGGATTAGATGTAACCCACGGGATCAAGCAAAGTCCTTATTTTACTGGAGGCAAGGGAAAAACAGCCTGTTCTTTGCTGGGTCACATTATGGTTCACCTTCCCTCTATGAAGAGATCTTGGAAAGTGTGACTTTAGGTGATATGAGGATGTCAGGCAGAAGGAGCTCTATAATATCACCTCTCTTTCTATACTATTTCTGCTACTAATGGTTAATCTAAAAGTCTGTAATCTTTTTGGAAAAAGCAAAGAGATGTTGTAATTCTGGTAGCAAAATCTTGAAGGTATTTCTGTAAATATGCTTGGAATGGATAAAATTTGGCTCAGGGGAATTGCTGAGGGTGAGCAAAGCTTTTCTCTGCATCAGCAGTTTGGACTGAGGTGAGGTTTATAGGGGTGGAAGGGCTGGATAGATTTGAACGGGTTAGGAATGGGATATTAGAGACACATCAGGAGAACCACAGTGCAAAGGGGCCTAAGGAGCATCCAAAGGGGCTGGAAACCTCTTGGCTGCTTGGTTTGAGCCCAAACCAAACGTGACTCAAAGTGAGAAGCTCTCCAGTTGCTCCATGACAATGCAGGATCTTGGGGGCCAGGATCTAGAGAGGGTGAGGGGGAATGGCTTTAAGCTGAAAGAGGGTAGATTTAGACTGGGTATTAGGAAGAAATTCCTCCCTGGGAGGATGGGGAGGCCCTGGCACAGGTTGCCCAGAGAAGCTGTGGCTGTCCCTGGATCCCTGGAAGTGTCCCAGGCCAGGCTGGATGGGGCTTGGAGCAACCTGGGCTGGTGGAAGGTGTCCCTGCCCGTGGGTTGGGAGTAGATTATCCACTCACTTTAAAGGGATCAGAGGAGTTCAGATGTTTGGGTAAGTTTTCTTTCACTATTCCCTCATTCAGGTTTGATCAGTACCACTCATTGGAGTTTTAGAAAACCAGACAATGAGTGTGTTAGTGATGGGAAAATAGGCAGCAATAAAAAAGGCTGTTGAGACACTCATACAATGATGAGGGAATTTTCTGAACAGCTGTACTTGAGTAATTATGAACAGAACCCTTGTTTCCACTGAATAAATTTATATTAAATTATTCCCTAATTAGAAAGATTATTTAAAAGACAAAAGCTATGGAATAATATACAGTGGAAGATGTATCTATTTCCAGAGTCCCTGAAACCATCCTTAAATCTTGGGAGTTATAACTCACCTTTTCCAGAGCTCTCATCAGCTGCAGTGTAAGCCCCAGAGCTGACACTTCAGATAAGTACATGATATAGTTCAGCCCTAAAACTCTTTAACAGAAAATACATCAGGACTTACTGTAAAATTTCATGGAGGATTAGAGAAAAATATTAAGTCAATAGTTCTTTAGTTATTAGGGGCTTTTAAGGTAATCAATACTTTGCAGCCATGTTAGTGCCTACGATGATAAAAGATGACATTAATATCCAACCCTTCTCTTTTTGGTATATTTATGTATATCCTTTCTTTAGTCACTCCTGCTGAAATCAATAGTGATACAAAGAATATGGTTATTTTTAAAATGTCATCAATATTGATTTGCCTATAACTGCCAGTTTCAAGTGAAACTTGATTCCATGGAAAAAAACCTTACTTTTTCATACAAAAGCATCACCAGCCACCCTAAATCTTTGGAGTACCCCTGCCTTTGCTTATGGTGATTTTCACATTAGCAGTGTGCTAAGGCAGCAAAAACTGTTTTAGGATTAATAAATCCTAAAAATAGGATTAATAGGATTAATTCTAAGAATTCTTTAGAGTTAAATGACGTTTTATGTCCTCAAAGCATGGCACAGATGTTAATTGAATTTAATTGATATCATTCCGTCCCAAATTTATATGCATGCAGTTATTAATGATTTAATTATTTTGTCAATGGAATAGATTCTTTGCCTTTGATTCTGTTTCAGAAGATAGAGTTGTCTTATGTAGAGTCCTTTGGCTGAATCCTTTTTATTCAGGTAGTTTGGGAACAGAGTTGGTTCAACGACAGCATTTCCCATCCTTTGGAGCAGCACTGCTCTGGAATGTGCTTCCTTTTGTTTCTCACTAGTAATCCCCTGGGTTTCTTCTGTATGTCTCAGGTAGGGATTTGCTTTAAAAATCTGGTGCTATCTCAGTGTTCTTGTACAGTTTCCTTGTTGGAATGTCACTTTTCCCAGCTGTGAGGAAAGGGCAGGTTTGTTTGCACGTGGTGTTTGCTCCAAGTGCCAGTGGATGAAGAGAGGATACATTTAAATGATCATGGAATGCAGAACTGCATTATTTTGGCTAAATTTAAATAACACTGGACTACCATTTTCATCTTGTTTCCAATCCACTTGTACATTCTGATGGAGCTTGGAACTCAGACTGTTACAGCAGTTGCCAGCTGGAATTTCCCTTGGAAAGTAGCTCCCAGATGCCTTAAGGACAGCAAAGCTGCTTCATATACAGTTTGTCCCTTTCTGACCCGTTCTAAGAAGATGGAAGGAGGTCTCTCAGGTTTGGAAATGAAAGGAGCTTGTCCTTAAAAATACCCCTGAATCCGTTGCTTTTAGAAGCTTTATTGAGACATGTTGCAAAACTACTCCCCAAAATAAAACAGTTGGAAAGAGCAAGAGAGTGGATGCACTGGGAAACCACTGATGTTTGTGCTAAAACCAGTTACCCCAGTGGGTTTTAGGGCACGAAGCAAACCAACAGCAGAGCACTCAGAGTGTTTCTGACATGGAAACCTGGGAATTACCAGCAACTTCCTGGACCTGTGTTCCTGGATGCCAGGGTTAAAATCCCACTGTGTCACCAGAATACTTCTGCACAAAGTGCCTTTTCCTTATGAACTACAAACATCTGAAGCGAGGCAGGGCAGGCGTCCCCGGCGCATTATTGATTCTCGTTCCTCTCGCTGGCAGGGCTGAACACAGTTAGATGCTCTCAGGGGACACAAGGCTCCTTTTCTCTAACCCAGCCTTCTTCAGATCCCAATAAATAAGGCATTAAAAGGGAATTATTCCATTTTGCCTTTGATGGCTGGTCTTCTTCCAGTTGAGTGTCAGACCCTAATGATCGAGGCAGTGAAAACACGTCTAGTCAGGCCTCTTTTTATTTCAATCCCTACTTATCTGGGGGAGGAACAAAACAGAAAGAAACCACAGAAAACACAGCATTTAGCTGCCCTCCCTCAATACATCATTTGTAAAGCTTTTGCTCCAGCTTTCCAAAAGGCCATTTAGCTTAATAGCCTCTCCCATTTTTCATTTCCTCATGTTACAGGTGCTAGGGGGATGATTTTTAAAAGAACAATGGAATGACATTTTACCTGACTTTGGAAATTAATTCCCAGCAGTCTCACGCCTTTTGTGCCTTAGATTTGCCTTCCATAACATGGAATGGGTGGGGAGATTCTTTAACAAAACAATAGGAAATTTAAAATGAGAGAAGTCATCCAATTTTCCATCCAAAAGCCATTAGTAAATTGTTTGTATGTCCACATTAGTAATATAAGATTAATGGACTAATTGAATTTTCAGAAATTTAGGCAAGGACAAAAGGAATTGGCCTCCATTGTAGTGTAACTAAATGCCAAAAAAATTACACGTACAAAATACATTATTTAAAAAACACTCTGAAGAGAATATGCTGAGCTGTATGTATTATATTTAAACTCAACAATATTTGATTTACATGAAATAGAATGAATAAAAAAGGGGAAAAAATTATTATTTACCTGGCAATTTGAGTTTATAAATCTGTATCTCAATTTGGTTGTTCCTATTCTTATTTGCCATTGACTATGACAGGTCATTAAATGAAGGTCAGTTCCTTGTGGAACAGTTTGTTGGCTCCTTTAGACTCTTAAAACTTGTGAAGCGTGAAATCAGTGACAAATTTGGAGTCGGTGTTAGTGTTGTAAAATGTGGAGCTTCCAGTGATTCGGAACATTGGAGGAAATCAACTCTTTGGTGAATGGCCCACAAAATATGATCTATTGCTGAAAATCTCCTTAGACACTCAGCCATTGGAGGAAATTAATCCTAGGTGGGACTCCTGTGCTAGAACTTCTACTTTGATGAATTTGTCATGCTTGGAAGATAGTGATATTCAACTAATAGCATTAATAACCTCACTATTTGCAGGTAATTACCCCCAGGAAGGAGCTGTGATGGTCTGAAAACATCTGTTTCTTTTTGGAATCCGTGTACATCTGCCCTTAAACAAGGTGAAAACTTGGTGTGAAACTCTGAGGACTGAATTTCTGCACTGTGATGTTCTCTGCAATTAGATAACAGCTTAAAATGTGATTAGTGCGTTATTTTTACCTCTCAGAACACACAGACACAACAAAACTCTCCGCTGAGAGCTGATTTGATGCCAGCTAAATATCCAGGTGGTACTCGGAAGGCACTGGTAATCAAATTCCTGAAACATCTTGTGCAGAGTGAGAATTTCCATGTTTCTGAACTTATACTTCCCTCCCATTCCCAGTGGGGCTCTTTGCTGTTGCTTTATCTGAAGTCCTTTAAGCTGTTACTCAGTTCAGTGTTTCCCTGGGAGGTTCTCTCAGGTAGAGGAATCTCCTCAATGTGCTGGTTATGCTGGGAAAGAGAAAATTCTACTCTGTGAGTCGTTTTGTACGTGAGAGAGGTTATCTGACAGAGCTTTCCACACAGCTGGCAGCAAGATCCCTTTTCTCCTTCCAGCAGAGACAAAACTGGCAGCTGGATGGATTTTAAATGTGGGGCACTTGGGGAATCTGCAAGGTGTAATGACCCTCGTGAAAGGACTTGGCTGTCCCAAGGGGATGTCAGCTCTGGGAAATGCCTCCAGAACAGGACTGGGATGGTCAGTGATCTGCTTGGCTGAAATGTGGGACATCAAGGCTGGGTTGGACAGGGCCTGGAGCAACCTGGGCTAGTGGAAGGTGTCCCTGCCCATGGCAGGGGGTGGAAATGGATGATTGTTAAGGTTCCTTCCAACTCAAACCATTCCATGATTCAGTGAAAATGAGAACTTTAAAAGCATAAGAGCATTGCCTGTTCCTCTGCTCTCCCAGGCAGAAACCCAGCAGTTTGGCATTTATGTCCATTATAAGCAGTTTATGCCCATTACATTGTAGCACATATTTTTTTCACTATCTTTGCAATGATACAACACTCAGTGCCACTGCTGAAAAAGTTGGGGAATGATGTTTCAGCCCAAGAAATGGAGAAAACCTAAGTAAGCAGCCTGCAAAGACAGTGTGCTCAGTCTCTACTGAGGCGTGATAAAAAGACAAAACCAAAAAAGGTCTTGATTTCCAAGCCTTTGCTGTGCCTCTTTCCCTCTTTCTCAATGTTTAACGCTGGCTCAGTGATAGATTTTCACTGGCATCATCTGCTGAGGTTACTGGCCTTCTTCCCCAAGACAAACTGCAGACAAACTTCCAAGATAAATTCCCCAGGATTAAGGACAACATTGTTGTAAATGTTGCCATATTAACTTCCTTGAAGCTCCCTGAGCTCCGAGTGATTTTCCTGCATGGATAATGGAGGCAGCACGCTCTAAATACACACAGAAAGGAAAACAGGACTTTTAACTCACTCTAAGTACTCTGTATTTTTAACTGAAGT